TTTGTTTTCGTATTTTATTTCCTTTTCTGGCAAATAGACGAACCTCCTCTCTCACCCAAAAGTAGGTTCATTATTTTAATAGATTTTTGTTTTTGTTTTTACCAAGGAATAAACTGCTTTGAGCAGTCTATTCCTTGGTATTTAATTGTTTGTTAGTATTTTATTTTAGTTGTAGCTTTTAGATGATTTAATTATTATTATTATTATTTTTTGTATGTTATATATTTTAATATTTTATTGTTATTTTTCGTTTTTATTTTATCCTGGGGGACCTTCTTGCTCGAGCAGACGCTGAAACCGATCCAGGTAGTTACACTAATTAATTAATTAATTTTTCTCCTAAACTTTTTACAATTATTTATTCCTAATTCCAGGTGATTGGATTATTATTTTATTTTTGATTTTTAAGAGCTTTTTGGTATGTGTTTCAATAATTATGTTGTAAGTATTGGAACCCATAAAGGTGTTGGACATAAAATTGACCCCAAAACTCAAAATTGAACAAATTATTTTGTAAATCACAGACCTCATGGCCCATCTTACCAAGAAAAGGCTCGACTGAATTCGAACCTTTAGAAGGCAAATAAGTGGAATATTTTTTTGCTTCAGATGCTTCTGCCATTATCGAGCATACCAACCGTGTCGTTTATTTTGAGATAAGAACCTAACTCAGACTAATAGCTTACTCATAATAATTATTGTCTTAGGATGATGATATTGCCGCAGTCAGAAACGAAGTCCTAAACATCCACAGACTCAGACGCATCGGATCAGAAAATTTAACCAACCGTGAAATTATCACCCTAAAAATGGAACTGCAACAAATCATGAAGGGCAACTACGATACGATTACTACATGCAAAAGGAAATTTTCGAACAGCCTGGATCGGTTGCTAACACAATGCGAGGGTGTGTTACCTTTGAAACAAAATCGGTAACTTTGGGTCGAATTAAGGAACACATTCCGGAAATTAAGAAATGCAGGAGACTGATGCTGATTGGGTGTGGTACTTCGTGTCACAGTGCTATTGCTACGCATCAGCTTATGGAGGAACTCACCGAGTTGCTTATTACGGTTAAATTGGTCAATAACTTTTTGGGCAGGACTACGCCGGTGTTTAGGGACGACGTGTGCTTCTGCTGAAATTTTCATTGAAACTTCTCCGAATAGAGGTCTACAAACCTTGCTTGAATGTATCTTTGATCAGTAGTCCAAATCTTGATGATTATTTCTCGAAAAATTGATCTCAAACATTTGGACTATAAATATATGTCATGATTATGATTGCCTCTAGAAAAATTACCCAGTATAGATAAAGAGCCGCTGAAAATCGAAATTTGATCTATTATCGGCTCTTGAATTGCTTGCAAAGAGTAATTCCATGAATTTAAAAGCCGATTACAATCAAAATTTGCGGCTTTTGAGTCGCTAGAAGGAATCATTATCACAACATTTCAGCTCATTTGGACTTTGAGGTAAATTTATCAATTTTTCAATTTTCTGAGTGCCATTTTTTCATAGATTCGGCTTCAAATCTCAGAATAATTTAATGTATGGAATTTGTAGGTACCATCCATTCTGCAAAACTTCCTCTTCAAGGTCAGTTTCCTGCATTTTTGACTCAACAAACTTGTTAGGTTCTTGTTGTGATGTAGTCTGCTTCCCCTCCATAATATTAGGAACCTCAGGTAAGAAAACAATATCTTTATATTTTTCTATTTTGTGTATCTGTGGAAAATAAATTCTGTAACCTTCAACGGTATGGCAATATCCAACAAACACGCCAATTTCAATTTTTTAAATCCCATTTCAATCTTTTTACTTTTTATCTTTGGAACATGTACAAATACTCGATAACCAAAAATGTTAAAATTTGACAACTCTGCTTTTTGTTTTACCCACAGTCCACAAGAAGATTTACCTTTGATTGGTGTGCTTCCTGACATATTTTTAGCACATACACTGTACAGTTGAAGCATTCAGCCCATAATTTTTTAAATTATTTGCCATAGTTCTCATTGCTTCCACTAAAGTACGCATCTCCCTTCCAGCAAGGCCATTTTGTTCTGGTGTGTAAACTACTGAATGCTGACATCTTATCTCTTTTCTCCTCAAAAATTCTGTTGGAGACTTGTTGATTAATTCTAAGCCATTGTCAGAACTTAAAAGTTTCATCTTAAAATTCTTCTAAGTATCTTTTGACCTCATATTTACGTTTTAAAAAATACCCATGCCTATATGTGATGAAAAATCATCCTTCAATAATAAAAAAATACCTACCTGAAACCGCCCAAAGATTTTATTTCCATAGGGCCGCATACATCTGCATAAACCAATTCTAAAAGTTTAATGGCTCCAGAATGACTACCCACATATGGAAATGAATGATGCTTACCAGCCAAGCATTGTTCGCATAGTTCACTATTGTTGACAAAAGGGATATTGGGTCTTTCTAATACATCTTTCACATGAGCATAGTTTTGAGTGTCACTTTCCTATGCCAGGTATTTAAGTTCTCCACACTTCCAACTTTTATGCAATCTAGAAAACTACACTCTTTATATTGAACTTTTGACAATTTTTTCTGTCCCATTTTCATTGATAAAAAAACTTCAGCTTGTACATTTTATCCTCCCTAGTTGCCTCAGCACAAACATCACTCTTCTTATTTACAATTTTGCACTCTTTATCATCTGAGATCATTCGGATCCAAGGCACGACCCACAGAAAACAGAATAAATTTCAACTGTGGTATATAGAAAACTTCATTCAATATTACTTCTTTCCAAAAATCTCTAGTGTAGGCCAAAACTCTTACACTTCCAACCCCTTTTAGTTCTAGCAGGTCTCCATTTCCAGCTTTCAGTTTTTGGTTGCTTTTTAATTCATTGAATCTCTCAAACATGTTCACTAGCTCTTGTGTCAAGGCACCAATCTGCATAGGTCTCTGCTCCAGAGATTCTGACAAGGATCACTGGTTCATCGTTCTCTTTTTCTCTGTTTTGATTTTCATATTTCCGAAACCAGCAATTTTCAATTTCATGGCCAGGTTTTTGACAGAAGTGACACCGGCCTGAGTCACTTTCTTTATTCTTTCTGCAATGTCTTGCTGAATGACCAACTTTCTGGCATACAAAACCTTTTCTGCTCTCACTTTTTCTAAAAGCAGCGTGGTCCTCAGTGGATTTATATCTGTCTTCTTCCACTAGCAATCTTGATGTCAACTCAGATAGACTCTGATCTTGCTCAGGAACGTAGGTACTCCCATGCATTCCTAAGATGCTCAAACCTCTCTGGAAGAGACATCAACAATTTTGTTATAAGCATTTTCCCAGACATTTTTTTCCCAGCTTGGTCTTTAACTCCTCAAGATGCGAAATAAAATCGGCCACTGTCATATTGTCACTAAAAGGCATATCAAAAAACCTCTGCTGCAGTAAATGTTTACACTCACTTGGAATTCCCTCTCAAAAATTGACTTTAACTTGGTCCACATTTCACATAACAATAGATGGGTTAACGGACCTTGTTCGACTCTTAAAACAATCGATTCTTAAGCCTTAGCATTTTTCTTAAGTCAACTTTCAAGGTCCCCTCCTGCAGATGAAGGTTTCCGTTTTTCACCACTAGCATTACTAGCAACATCCTAAAGCCTTCTCCCTTTTAACATGACTTTTGTCTGAAACTCCCACAACACTCAGTTTTCATTGCCGATTAAATTTACCACTGTGTCCTGGTCCATTATCTAATAGCCGCCCAACCGAACTTGAAGGACGTATTTTTGCCTTCCACAGCACAACAAAAGTCTCTCTTCGACTTTTTTTCTGGCTCCCGCATACTTTAAAACTACCAGCCCTTATTTTCAGCTATGTCTGGGCCCAAAACCACTTGAATTGGCAAAAAAAAAGACTGTATTGAACAACGATTTTTTTTTAATGAGACTAGTATTTTAACAGAATCCTACTAACATGGAGATCTTGAAGGGTCTTGAGGCTCATGACATCAAGATTTCACTTTTGTAGTATTGAAAAGAGATTTTTGAATAGAATCCGATTATGTCGACGTAACACAAAAGCCGATGAAAAATCTAAAGACGCGACTCTGGAAATTTTGAAGACATCAAAATGTTTAAAGACTTCAAATATTTCAAAGCTCTCAATTTTAATCTTCTGAAGGATCCGAAGGTCCTAAGGAGTCTCAGGTCTCAGAGAACAAAAATAAAAATGACTTTTTTGAAAACTCGGCCATCAGACTCATTTTTCAGGTTTATAGAATGAAAACGCTGCTGATTCAAGTCCTAATGCTGAATAAGCCTGCGAAGATTCTAAAAATGTAAAGAAATCCTGAGACTTCAAAGATTCTTAAGCTATCCTTTTGAAGCTCTTGAAAACTAAAGATACTTTCGATCTTGAAGGGTTTTAAGGCTCGTGGACATTTGACTTTGAGGATTCTGAACGCTCTGAAAATTTGTTTTTTAAGATTTTAGACTGAAGACTTTGTAGATTGAATTTAAATTTAAAGTCTTCAAAATTCAGAGGTTTTAAATTTAAGATTTTCAAAGGCTCCAAAGTCATCACTCAACATTGAAAACTGTAAAGATTCTACAAACATAAAACAATTCCTTTGGAACCTTTGTATGATTTCGGAATGAAACCTGTAAAGATTATGTGGATGTAAGACTAAAGCGACTGAAGACTCTAGAGAGACTCCAATAACACTGAAGAATTTTACTTTATCACAATCTTAGAATCAAATCTATGAAGCTCAAGACTAGAACTTCAGATCTCAAAGGACCGATCTTACTCATCTTAGAACTTCAGACACTAATAACTCTGAAGACTCAATATTGCAGACAGGAATACTGCCACGTAGGTCGTGCCTAAGACAAAATTTGTTCGAGTTTTTAGAAGAAGTTGCGTGGCAATAAAAATATTTAAGTATGTGGAAAATACAAGTTATAACAAATTAATTTTAAACCTATTTTAAGTATAGTTCTTACCTCAAATTTTAATGCCTGTTTCGATTCGTAACTTTTTCTGGCCAGCGCCACTCTAACCCACTCAGGCTTGTCCGAGATGGCAATGTGCAGCAAATATCTGACGCCCAATAAAAGTTGCTCCAGACACATGAAAACAATCAAAAGTTGAACATCGGAATAATCAGGAAAACGTTTTCTGATGTCCGGACTCAAGTACAACACTCCACAATTGGTTAGAATCGAAAGACCTCCAAGTACTTCGAAGGATCTCTTTACAAAAAAATTGAATTAATTGCCTTTTAGAGCCGAAGTAATTTCAAATTACCTGCCAAGCGCCGATATCCTTAACTTTCCTTATAAAAGGGCGACGAAATAGTTTGCAAACTTTATAGGCGTCCGCTCTAATCTCCATGACGTTATTCAATAGGGCCCAGACTGCCGCTATTGGATAGACTGAGGAGAACAAGAAGACGTAGCCGAATTGGATGTAGAGCTCTAAATAGTCGTCGAATGTGTCTTGGTATTCTTCCATCGATCCTTCTTTTTGAGCCTATAGTGGATCGATAATCAAAATTAATCCACTGTAAGGGACACATCATACTTATTTAGTACTATTTAGAATTTTAGATGTTGATTCTTTATGCTTGAGCTTGAACATATAAAATTCTCGTCTTCTTTTAACACTTGAAGAAGACCAGAATTTTCATTCCGAGTTGCTTGTGAAAAAAGTTTCATACTCGAATAAAGCACTCTGAAAGTTTCAAAAGTGCTTTTACTCTTGAAAACTAATATTTCCCAATAATAAAAACCCATTAGGAAAACACCATACGACTGATATTTCCTCTATTATACGTTTTCCCAAGTCAAACATTACTGTGGGTGGTGCATTTTCCATTTTTTACGATAATTTCCCTTGCCGTAAAAATTCGCTATTGCAACAGTGCTATGTTTGCATACAAAACCTGTTAGAATAAAAATATTTTTACTGGATATTGCCAGTTTTGTAACAGCTGTAGTATTACAGCTTCTGGCTGGACATATTAAAACATATGAATAATTTTTTTTAACTGCATGATTCTTTGATACAAAAGGTTTATCAATCAAAACCTAATTAATTAATTCACATTACTCAAAAGGTGCTGCAACCAGATAATGAATTTCCACTTACCATTGGAAACTTTCCTTAGCTGGGAAAACTTTTTTTTTACCTGTTTTATTCTCGGATCGTCGCTCTGCAGCTGAGGGATGTTTAATAAAGGAAAACTTCCTCCATTCTCCGATGTTTTTTCGTCTCCGCCGGCGGTCGTTGTTTTTTGCGACTGAAACAACGGTTGTTAATTTATAGGAAAATTGTGCAATTACTCGAAACGATTGTGTTTTGCTTGCGGTATATTGATCTCGAGGCCGCGGGGTTGATGTTAAAGTTTATTAAACCGTGGAGAAGTTTCGAATAAAGAGCGCCCAACTTCTGGGCTTGTATTGTTTAAAGAGTTGCCAGAGAGAGAGGCTCTCTGTTAACTTGCGAACTAATTATTTTCGTCTATTAAGAAGCCAGACTTTTAGTTTACTACTTTTTGGAAGACTTAAAGCAAACGAGCTACCCTAGACTAATGATAATTATTGTTACTTACATGATACGTAAACAGATGTTTACTTATTATTACCTATTTATTGATACCTATACTCAATCTCATGCAATTTTTCAAAAATTACCAACCATCAGAAAACCAAGTCTACCTTTCACATAAATTGGATTCAGAATTCAGAATTAGCTACTAGCAAGGAACCCCCTTAGAGAGTCATGGGACCTGGCCGCTAATAAGGGAGCCTAGACACTGCTCCCTTTCCCCCTCAATGAAGCAAGGACGGTAGATAGAGCCAAGGATGACTCAATTGATATTGGGTACAAACAGCGCTGAGGGGCTTCAATCACCGCAGACAAATTGTATCAGGTTCTTATATCTGATGTGGGGGCTTCCCTTAATCGGCTGGCTAAGTAATGTAACGAAGTTTCAGTATTTCATAAAATAGATGCGCCTCCCGCTTCAACTTAATTTAATTATTAATTGCGTAACTTAATTTTCTATATTCACGGCGGTATTAATTAAAATCCTCTTTATATTATTCCTAAATATTAAATACATTATCATGATTCCGCGTGACCTCGCCTGGAATCTACCAATCTACCGATCCCAGCAAAGTTTTGGCCGGTATCAGCTAATTTGCATATTTCCGTGTACCCTGCCGCGTCCCTGACCCATTTTTTGGCTATAAATTGGGCAGAATTTGCTGGTAAAGGACAGTCTTCCACCGGTCTCCGAAAAGCCAGCAGTGATAGCAGCATCACTATCAGAACCGTCCGAGGTAAACCAACCCGCCGTAACCACAGTGGGGGTCAGTTCTTGCAGGGTCGCGAATTACACCAGAAGGTAAAAATCAAATTATATAAGCTTCACTAAGATTTTCGACCAGTACCTTGGACGGGTAAATCTTTTCCTGCAATAGGGGTTTCGCCCGGTACCCTGGACGGGTAGTCTCTATTGCTCTTAGAAATTCGTCCGGTACCCTGGACGGGTAGTTCTGTATGAGAGATTTTCGCCTGGAACCTAGGACAGGTATTTCTCTCCGAAGCTTATAAGGTATCTCTAATCCGTTAAATGAACGATTCGAGAACTTACGCTTATGTAATTTCAGGTGATGTCCGTACATTTGCTTGGGTCACCGGAGTTTGTTTTACCGCTTTATTGTTATTTAACATTGTAACATTTGAAATGTCACAAGAACATATTTAATTGTTCTTAATTAATTAGGCAATCTCAATCACGTGATTTTATAATGGCCGTTCGGGTCAAATATTAGGCAATTCAAACCACGTGACATTCAAGATGGCGTGGCGGCCACACATGGGCCAAAAAACACAAAAAAATATCTAGTTTCTGCCGGAATTGATAGTTCAGGTACCTAGTCAACAAATATTTTATTAAATAATGAAAATCAAAGTTGTAAGCAAAACTGTATGCAAAATAATTTAAAATACGCATAAAAACATATTCAAAACAAACTTGCTTGGCCGCCACGTCACATTGAATTTTCCGTTTTGACAGATGGATTGAATTGCCTAATTGCCGTGACAAGGGTGGCAAGCCGGTGACGTTCATAAGGAGAGCATTTGCGTACATTTGTGTTCTGGCCCTTGTTGCTTTCGAAGTGAATTTTATAGTCTTTGGTGTTTCTACGTATTTTTTATTGGTTTTGGCCATTGTTGTTTTAATAGTGAATTTTATACTCTTTAGTATTTCAACGTATTTTTTAGCGTTCTGGCCCTTGTTGTTTTCACAGTGATATTTATAGTGTTTATAGTGTTTCTACGTATTTTTTAATTTATTAATAAATTCTGAGATGGAGAGTGAATATTTTAAGGTATTATTATTAAGGGAAAATCGAGCCTCTGGTAGATCCTTTCTTTTAATTGCAGCAATCCATAAAGCCCTGCGTTGCCAATGATTTAAAATAGCAGGAACTGAATAAAATTTCAAATTTTTCCTGTTACCTCGACTTCCACACCCAATTACGATGCAAATCGCTGGCATTTTAATTAACACAATACCTAAACACACAAAAAAATACAAAATCCGATAATTCAAATCTGGACGTTTGACAAGAATGTGACAGAATCAATGACATACAATATAAACAACACAGTGCTTGACCCAATATAGCTTGACCCGAACTTCCATATTGAATTTCGTTTCTGACAGGTCAGTAGATTGCCTAATTTCATATATTAAGAACTCGAAGAAATTTAAAAGCTAGCGCGTTCCTACTCCTTATGCCTTTACCTGCTCTAAATTTAAAATACTATCTCGTACACCTGGCGACATCTATGATTCCTCTGACTAGTTTCCTGACCTAATACCGAAAATTATATTATCAAAAGGTGGTTTCGATTTGCTCACTCCGTACACTTCGAGTGACTCCATTCGCACTCCAGCTGTTCGGGTACTGCTTTTCACCATATTAGGGGTGACTCCATTACTTTTATTCACTCTACCTCAACTAGGAACCTAACTAAAGTTATTTTTAAGAAAACCGGTAGCGCTGTCATTTTTATAATTTCGACTTTTCGACAGGCTTGACAGAGGAAGAAAGACAGAACCATCTGGGTACTTTCGACTTGTTCTTTGCTATTTTGTCGTAGGACCGAAAAGGTCGTCCATTTTCTTAATTTAAAAAACAAAAAATCCAAAAAATTTTGTCTTTATTCTTGGCCATCGAGCCCAAAATTATGTAAATTTAACTAGCCAGAAGAGTGAGTAGTTGTGCCAGCTGGAACGTTTCCTGAAAAACCAATAGATTGTTGATTTTTGTGTAAATTTCTGAAAGTGAGGTTATTATCGGCCGTTGAGGTATGTAAACCCTTTTATCTACAAGCGTTTGGTTATGACGTTCTTACATAACCATTTTTCTAGTATTTGAGTTACGTCATGAGACTCATAACACAACTAGTGGTGTTATAGACTAGGTTATGAATTCATAACACAACTAGTGGTGTTATGGACGAGGTTATGAGTCTATAACACAACTATTTTTGGTGATTTGACAAATGTCAAAGGTAAACCTGTAAAGGTAAAATGAAGGTAGACAACTATTAATGAACGAAAATAATTGGAAAAATATTCTTATTTTTCGCTTTGTAGATAAAACGTTGTACATCACACGTGCGTTTAAACATGACTACAAAACTCGTGTGATTAGAACGACTCGGTCTACGACCTCGTCGTTCTAATCCTTCACACTCGTTATTGTAATCATGCTCATAAACGCACTTGTAATGTAAATAACTATTTCCCTTTGATAAATGAGTCTCTTTATTTCTTCATTCCGTTCAGGCAATATGGGAGAGTATTAAAAATCCACGCCTACACTTCTGGGTGAAAATTTGACGAATTTGAGACCATGCGGTACTGCATTTCCAAAGTAAGTCTGGGCCCCCTCTACAAGAAAAGTTGTGTCTTGTAAGAGATTGATCCCTGACCATTGGATGATTGCCTTCCGTCAGTTTGGTGCTTCTGGATCTCAAATTCATGAAAATTTCCACGGATTTCGTCCAGGCTTGTATAATTACTTACCTAGGGGTCCCGTAACTGTGCCTTAATAAATACCGTTACCTATCATTATCTTTTTTACCGTTCCCTGTCGATTACCTTTATTAGTAATTATTATCTTTATAATATTAATTACTGTTAATTATTATTATCTATTCCTTATCGCTTACTATCGATTAGCTTAATTAGCTAATTCATAACTGTATAAAATCTATTACCGACTCATTTACCGTATTGTAGTATTTAGCTAGAATAGCTAACTACAAATTAAATATAATTATCCATTCAATTAATTAATCATTATCATAATTGGATTTTTACTTTCATTATTGTTTTCTCAATAATTATTTATTTTCAATAAGTATGCATTATTACAATTATTTTAAATTTTGTTTCCTCTATATCGAGTATTAATCGATATAATATGGGTGGGTTCATAAATCTTTAAAAGGTTGATTTAACTTCTGATTTCAAATCAATTATGTGGTAGTTTTACAAGGTGAACTAATGTATAATCTTTAGGTAGTCAAATTTAAGTTTTATGGTTACCTATTTGAACTTTAAAGGTAAGAAGGTAAGAGCTCTTCCGGAAACCGTGAAGCCTTGTTTTCATGTAGCAGGTTTTTGATATTTTATAACTGCCTAAGGATTATTTATTACCTTTCTGCATTGAATAAATTGTTTTCTATTGATTTGATTGACTTTGGGTCAAAAATTAAGGGTTAATGATATTATCACTTCATCATTTGTACTTAGGTAAAATTTCATCGTAGGTATCTATTACCTACTTGTTTTTGAATTTCAATCCTACTATACTTATTTAAATTAGGTTTTGCTTTTAGAAAGCTGCTTAATGATTTTTTTTTAAAAACTTTGATACTAGACAATATTTTTCTTAGAACCATAGAAAAAAGTTCGCCATATTGTCACAAATTTTAATGACATCTAATTAATAAATAATTGTGTTTAGAATTCCAAAGCTCTGTGTTTTTATTGAATGGGTTGAATGTCAGATAGCTATTGGATTTTGGATTTATTTTACCTTTTCAGAATTTTTTGAATTTATCTTTTTAAACAATAACTAATTAATGAAATAGTGCCTAGTTTGGCTATTCCTTGGTAATCAAAATAATTTATACAAACTAGTGGCGCCCTCTCTCTACTGTACCAACACCAAGGACCACCCCATGCTAACAACCACTGAGCAATAGTCG